TTTCAGAATCAAACGAACATCAGCAATCACCAACACTTGCTGAATTCAATAATGTACATAAAGAAGCATCTTTGAACAAAAGTAATATTCTTCAACTAAATTATTGCACATTATTTTTTTTCTCTTTAAACATACTGTTTCTTGATTTTAGACATGCCAGTTCATCATGTCAGTGATGAAGATTCATCAGAATGCGAGAACAATATGGAAGAAAATATAAATAACAAAACTATTGGTAAGAAGGTATCTAATCATTCATCTACGAAGAAAAAACGTTCATTATCGTCCAAAAAAAAAAATTTGATCTCCAAACTGCTAAACGTCTTCGTTTGAATAATTCGATTGAATTGATCAATCTTGATGAGCGACAACTTGACAGTTCACCAATGGTCAATTATATGAAAGATCTAAATGAAAATAATAAACATTTATTACAACAACAAAAGCAAATTATGCTGGTACAGGACCGAATCGAAAAGTCGTTAACACTTATTTTAAAAAATCAAAAGAGAATAGCTAGAACTATAAATAAAAACAATGTAAGTCTGATGTAAATTTTTCATTCATATTAATATAGTTATTTGCTTTAGATATCAGTACTTTTGGACATGCCAGAAATGACTCAATCATCATCCAATGAACCTTCTTCCAATGTAAGTTGACATTATACCTAAGATGAATAAGATATTTTAGAAAACGGAGTACTCACTAACTGAAACATTCATAGGAATCTTAGTGAGAAAGAGATATGATCTTTGTTTTTATGAATAATTCGAAACTGTCAAAAACAACTCATCAGTCATTTTTTATTCGAGTAAGTTATTATCAAGTCATTTATGTCAATCAGTTGCGGTGTACTCAAAGCGAATGGACAGTCAATATGATAATTGAGTGCTGGTTGTTGACAAGTGATCGTTACGAAGTCTGTAGAGCAAACGTTTCGTCTTTTGATTCTTATACATCTGCGGAATATTCGTGTTAATGTGTCTTTGGTTTTGATTGAGCATTTTCTTGTCAAGCTTGGAATTTATCTACATTTCTATACGAATATTTCAATAACTTTTATATGAGTTATCTAATTTCAGGTATATGTACGTTCCGATGGGCTTGAAATTGATATGATGTCGATACCCTGTTCATTAAATAAAGTTACTGATTATGTGAACAAGGCTGTTGATCGTGTTTTTGTTAATATTAATGAACTCATTGCACTTGATCCTATCAAAGAATCAATCGATAATGATGAGCGTGTAAAAGCAATTAAAGGTACATTCATAAGAATTATGAACAAATTTCAATTTAATCTATAGCTAACTTAATATTTACCATGACATATTTGATTATCATATTATTGTTCTTCTATGTTCATAATTACATTTTTCTCATGTGTTTGTAGCTGGTGTTCAAGCTAAATATCGACTTGACAACACAGAAATCGAGGCTATTTGGCCAACGTTACATGATTGTATACTCTTAAAGCGACGCAATACCAAGAAGAAGATGTTACGGGCATTGCAACCTAACCCTTTCGGGACCGGTGACGCTTTAAAGCGTCATTGAAATTTTACATGATCTGACGCAAGTGAATTTGGATTTTTTTCTGGGTCTTTTCGAAGTAAATGTTGCGGTTGCT